CCCCAAAACCCCAAAACCCCAAAACCCCACTGTACTTAAGATTAAAGAATGGGTTCATAAAATAACGATATAATCAAATTATAATTAAAAGTCCTTCGATATTCTTTAAATAATTCAAAAATACATAAAGATGAAGAAACAATAATAAGACTATGTAAGTTATCAAATCATTAAGAATGAGACTAATTTCAAATAATTATAGCAATTACCTTAAGATGATTAATATGAAGAAGAAGAGGATTATCAAGATCAAGAAGAGATGGATCAGGATGAAGAGGATGATCAAGTATCCGAAACTGTTAATAATCAAAATAATAATTATCAGGGTTAGAATAATTATGCAAATGTCAATTCATAATCGAATGGCTTTGGTAATGTTCAAGTAAGCATATATATAATTTAACAAAGCGATATTTTTAGATGAATCCAAATTTCTAATTCCCAGGAGCTGGATAAAATAGGATTAGCAATATTCCAAATATGAATAGTAACAATTCAACATAACAAACTCAGAATTCCAACATTTAGAATAGAATGAGACCACAAAGTGCAAAAACCAATGATGACTAAATGAAGTTTTAATATCAATAGTAGTAATTGGCTTAATAACAACAGCAAAATAACCCACAATGGATTGGACAGTAAAACTACTTGTCGAATGATCCTAATTCACAATATCCATTGTAAATGCAAGGAAACTACAATTAAGGCTATCCTGGGCCTTATGTCTAAGGTGGATTCTATCAAGGAATACCTTAAGGTGGAAACGTTCCTGGTGGCATGAAGAAAAGACCCACTACCGCTAGTAGAAGAGGAAATATTCCTCTTGCTTTTGGAGCATAGAAGAAGAGTTTTGGTTCTAAAAATCCATCTACACTGGATTTAGAGGTATCAAAATTAAGACCGAGAATCATAAATTAAGAAAGAGAAAGATTGTATGACGATGCTCTAAAACAAAAAATGGCAGCAAATTATCTCAAGGATGAAAATACCCGACTAAAAACAAAGATCCATAAACTAGAAGTAGATCTCGCTCAAAAGGAGAGATTAGTTGACGATCTCTTGGTTTAATAGGACTCATTTTAAGTAGGAGGTCCTATTTCAACCACTAATAAGACATAAAAGGTAAAGCTAGAGGGGCATTTAGCATTGAACTTAAAAAGAAAAGTTAGAGAGCTCCAAATATCATTACAACAGAAAGTAGATGAGGTTGAGCTGCTAAAAAGAAACATTAAATCTACAAAGACAGCAGAAGTTGAAGTTGAACTTAAAGTTTATGCAGATGAATGTGTAAGACTAAGACATTAACTGGAAGAGGTTATCAAAAGCAAGGATACATTTGCAGATCCTGAAGAATTAAAAATCATAGAGAATAAATTTGCTTAATAGGATGGCCTTATAAATTAGCTGAGAACAGAAAACAGTGAACTTGCAAACGCTTACAGTAAGAAGGAGGATGAAAACAGATAACTAAGGGATATATTTGCAGACATGGAGAAAAAAACCAAAAAGGTTATTTAGAATACTAAAGAAGCATCAAAACTTAAAAAGACAATCAAATCTTAAGATAAAGATATAAAGAGACTGACAGCAGAAGTGTCAGCCTAAAAATAACTAAATGAGGATTACAGAAATAAGATTGAGGAAATGATCAAGAAAGGGCCACTTTAGTAGAACTCTGTCAATAACACTTACAGCTCAAATCTAAATAAGGCTGGAAATGCTGGTGCCAATGATCCAGATGCTAAGAGATTAAGATAAGATATTCAAGAAAAAGATCAAAAAATATCTGAGCTTAATACAGTAGTTTAATAACTATAGCAAAAATTGCAAGAGAAGATGAATGATATATCGAAGGAGCAATAAGAGAAAAATAAATTCAAATAGCTATATGAATAATATCAGGATAGAGTCGTCTAGCTTGAGGCATAGTTAGAGGATGGAGATTAAAAGCCCTATGCTGCAAGACCAAAGACAGCTGTACCAAAAACTGAAAATTCTGTAAAGCAATCAATTAAAGAGCTAGATAAAAGCAGTGATAAGTCAAAGGATGCCAGTAGAAGTAACATAATCACTAAAGATAATAAAGTCAAAGCATCAATGGTTTCTGGAGGCAAGATGATAGCTAGAGTTGATGAAAAATAAGCAAAAGAAATATGCTTAGAAGTTAAATTAAAGCTTTAGAGCAAAGGCTTTTTCTATCATCAAATCCATGAGTTCTTCTTTAAGCCTTATGTTAAAGACCAAGAAGTCACAGTTGGGTAATTAACTGATATTTTTGAAACTAATGGTCTAACTGAAAAGAGATCAAGGCTCTTAGCCAGGTACATAATTGAACCTAAGGAGGGCCCATAAGTAGTCGACTCTGATGAAACTTCAACATCTTAGCTAGAAGTCGTGAAAGTTCTTAGTGGAATGGTTGGGCATTTCAAAATTTATAATGATTCCAATCAAGTAAAGAAAAATAATGAGGCATTGACAAAGCTATTCTAAAAGTGTAAAGGTACCTTGAGAGATTCTCTTTAATTAGAGGATTACGAGGATGATGGAACAGTTCCCTTGTCTGCGTTTAATGAAGCATTTGACAATCTTGATATCAGCATTGATAAGGACTTGAAAGATTATTTGATTTTCGTGATTTATCAGAGAAGTGAAAGTCTTGATAAGATGAATTATCCAGTCCTATTCGATTTGATAGATGGTAAAATTGCTGCAGGCTAGCTAAGTGTTGGCTCAAATGATGGAAGTAGAAAGAGACCTGAAAGCAGTTCACCTGAGAAACTAAAAGCAAGAAATAAGGAGAAGTACTCTGGAAATCAATAGCCTTCTGAGGGAGAAAAGAAATCGAAGAATAAAGCTAAGGCTAATGATGAGGATGAAGATGATGACTATGAAGAGGAGTTTGACAAGCTACTTGATAAGGATGACGATGAAGATAGTAAGAAGGACAAAAATTTGATGCAACTCAATAAAAAATCAGATGATGATGGCGACGAAGATGATGAATATAATGAGGATGATCCAGATTTTGCCAAAAATAATGGAGATATGGAGGATGAATAAGAAGGAGAAGACGAGATAGATGAAGAAGAAATGTTAGATGTAGCTGAGAAATGTTTTATCAGAATTGCTGAGTCTATTATTAAGATGGGAGTGTCTGTCAGACAAGCTTTTAGCAATTTCATCATAAGAGAGGAAATTGAAGCTGATGATGGATAAATTGAAGCGATAGAATTACTTAGCCCAATAGGCTTTTTGGAAGGAATTAAAAATCTAGGAGTGACTGATTTAGAAGAGATAGAAATTGCCTGTTTGATGAGAGTTCTTACCAAGCAAGAACTAGAAAATGCTATCTTACTAAGAGAGTTAATTGTTATTATGGAAAACTTTGGCATTCAAGATGATGAAAATCAAGACTAAGTTAGCATCTAAAATCAAAATGAGCATCTTGCAACTGATGCACACGGAGAGTAGGATATTGAGCAAGATTCTAAGTAGTAGCTAGAAATGCCATCTCCTGATGGTGACGGAGGAAAAAAGAAAAAGAAAAAGAAGAATACTTCCAAAGGAATAGATCTAGCCTAACTAGATGAGAAATCAATCAAGATTATGGCTAAATTGATGCTAGCTTTGATGGAACTGAATGTTAGCCTCTATGAATTTTTCGAGGGAAAAATCTATGAACAAGCAGTGAAAACCAAAAAGAAGGAAAATAAAGTTGAGATTATAAATTCCAAAGACTTCTTCGACTATCTTCAAAGAAGAGGTGTGCGAAAATCGAATAATCCTCACAGCAACTTGAATAAGTTCTTACAATTAGACCCTAACTACACAAATCTACTAATGCTAAAGAAGATTGCTAAGACTTTAGATGAAATGGCCAAGAATGAGGATTTAATGCAAGGAATTCTCGCAGCCGCAGAGGATGATATGGGCGGATAAGATGATAATCAATACGAGCAAAATGAATATGAAGAAGATGAAAATTAATAAAATTAAGAGAGATTAGTTACAATAGGCGAGGACAAAGAAGAGGATAAGCTCTATGAGTCTAGAAAGACTGCAGCAGACAAAAAGTCAGCTGCAGGATAAGGTGCTGTTGTTGCTGGATCAAAGATGTAGAAATAGGCACCTAAATAGTAAATAGAGGATGATGAATACTCAGATGATCAGTAGAATTTCGAGGGTCAGGACGAAAATTACAACGAGGACTAGTATGAAGAGGCAGAGGACGATTACGCCTTTTGATGAGGATAGAACAGCCAGTTTTTAAGATCTATACTTTACTGCACTCAAAATTTAAAAGTCATGTGATGATCTAATTTCTAATTGAATGATTATATGCAATTAATTAATAACTTTATCTAAATTGTTAAATTTTTCGAATTAAATAGATAAATCTAAAATGAACGATCCTAATCATCTCTAGGTTCCAAATAAGGCTAGTAATAAGCAAGAAAATCTTAACATTTCACCAACAGTTCAATCAGTAGATAGGTCCGTCTTAGATATGTTTAAAAGGGAGGGCAATCAAAGAAGAAAGAGTCTAAGTACCAAGAAAATAAGAAAACTGCAATAACAGCAATAGTTGTAATTGAATAACTTGCCAAATAGCACCTAGAATAAAAGCACTATTAATCTTTAGGCCTTATTGAAGTCAACTAACGGTTCACAGACAGTAAGAAGCCAAATGGAAACCCCCGGAGATGCAAAGCTCTTAAGACCTAAGTCAAATATGAGTAAGGGTAGAAATGATGGATTTAAAACAGATAGATATCATAAATCTAATCCTACTTTGTAGATGCTGTAATCAGGATCAAGTTTCAACAAGAAAAAAAATGATGACTTAGCATAAGGCACTATCAATTTGGCAAATATAAATACAGTTGAAGATCTACAGAATGCTGATGAATAAACTGTGAATATCATACATGCAATTATGCTTAGGAAGGAAAAAATGAAGCATTCAGATTTCTATACCTTGCTGGAGCAAGTGACAGACAGGATTCAGATGTATAAATCTCTATTTCTTGACAAAAAGCCAAAGTTTATCAAAGATAGCATGTCTCATAGAGTCTAAAGTTTAGAATTAATTGACTTGAAGTAGAAAGCAGCTTAGGATGAAAAGAAATAGAAGCTGCTTGAAAAGCTGTAAGAAAAGAAAAAGAAGAATGCTTTCTACGATAATCTTAGTAAGAAACCCTTGAAGAAGTATAAATTTCAAATACAAACTGGAGGGGATTTAAATGGGAATGCTATCCAAAACTAAAACAGCAAGAGGTTAATTCAAAATCATGCTTAAACTGAAAATATATACAACAGCAATGGATCGCATGGTCATACATTGTCTAACTCTGACAATAATTTGAGTCAAATGAATTAAGATTCTGATAATCATTAGTCTAATTACTTAAAGGAAATTGCAAGAAAGGAAAAATTGTATTCATAGAAGGGCAGAGTGCAACCATAATTCAGAATGCCATAGCAGTAGCAGTAATTCTAAACAGAAGTGTCTGTAAATGGCAACAACTCTTTGGACTCGATACACATATAGTAACTAGGTTCTGCTGAGAGGAATAAAACCAGTAACAGCTAAGAAAAAGAGCATCTCGAAATAAACATTAGGAATGACATCACTTATCTTTAAATGCTGAAAAACTCATCCAGTTTACCATATCTCAAGCACATCTAGGTGAATGATCAATAGAGCCCATTGAGGTCGTACATAGATTAAAAGATCAAACTTATTGATCATACAGAGGATGATAGGAAAACTTCTAAAAGGAAGCTTAAGATTCTAAGATTAGGAGAGGCGAAATTTAAAAAGTTGAACTAGAAAAATGATTTAAAGAAGATTATACAAGAACACAATGGAATTTTGAGAAACAGAGAATTGATTCCAGATGATATTATAAGAAAGAGTCATGAGCGCAGTATGAGCACTAGTAATCTTTATAAAGTCTAACTTAAGGTATTACCAGTGATAGAGAGTCTTTAAAATCTTAGTAAGATGCCTCAATTTAAAGAAATAATTAAGAGCAGGCGTGTTGGAGCTAGTTTTAGAGACAGATACAGAGACTATAACCCAATTCAATCTTTATTCAGAAGTTTGAGACCAAGGGATGATATTCAAGGTAAGATTTGTAAGAATTAACTGACTTTATTATAGAATAACTAATAAAATCTTCAAGAGTTGTGTTAAAGTAGCAAGCATAAACTGAGCAGTAACAAAATTTAGACTTACTTTAAACGCTGTGATATCTTATTAAATAAATCCTAGAATATTATTATTCCTCTTGATACTCAAATTAAATATTTATATTTAATCTTGAATTAGGGGGTTTTGGGGTTTTGGGG